CGAATGCTTGTAGAAGTTTATGGTGAGAATGCTCCAACTGAGAAATCATGTAGGGAATGGTTTCGACGTTTCAAGAATGGTGAATGAAGAATGGTGTTGTATACTATGAACTGCTGCATTCTGCCGATTCCATTACGGGCGATAGGCGATTCGTTTGAGTGGTGCATTACGGGAAAAACTGTCGGAATACGAGTAAAGACATGACAAAGTTATTCTTCTGCATGATAACGGTCGGCCCCATGTCGCAAAAGTTGTAAGAAATTATTTGGAAACGCTCAAGTGGGATATTTTGCCGCACCTGCCGTATTCACCGGACATTGCTCCTTCTGATTACTGATCGTTCCAACGGATCCAGCACGATTTGGCAGGTCACAGGTTTACTTTATTCGCAGAAATCGAAAATTGGCCCCTAACTTGGATCGCCTCAAAAGACGAGACATTTTTTCGAGAGGGAATTCGAAAATTACCTAAGAGGCGGGGAAAAGTTGTAGCCAGCGATGGACAATACTATGATTGATCTGTTAATTCATTTTGTTCAAACATAAATGCATTTTTGACCACAAAAAAAAACGGACCGAACTAATTTGTACTCCCTATAAAAAAGTTTATAAGTATAAACTCATTCATCATTATTCATTCTGTTTAAAAAACACTACTCTGTAAGCGAAAATTTGAATCTAGTTCCTAAAATGAAATATAAATTGTCATAGTGTATTAATGAATTTTTGAAAGTAATTTCAGCAATCATTCTATTCGATAACTTCCATAGAATGTTTTTTTATTCTTTTTCGAAGCAAAAAGAAGCTTTTATTGGAGCGATATTATATTAAGTAATAGGAAACTGACTTCACCCCTATCATTTTTTCATTCGATTCCTTAGATAAGAATGCTGTTGCATTTAAGGTACGTTCGATCAACCAGAACAAAGTAAAAGAAGTTCTATGTCTACAAAGTACTTTGGATTGTAATAATTCTTCTCTACTTTAAGATGAAAAAGCAATTGTTACCGAAAAAAAATGAATTAGTTTTCTTTAATAGAATTTAAAACTATTTTCATTTTTATGAAATTTAGTTTAAATATTTATTCGAAAAGTCGTTCTATACTACTTAATAGGTATTAAAATTTCTGTTCCGTTTTTCTCTTTATTTTTTCAAGTCGATTTTTAACAGTTTTATAAAACGTTTTATTTTTTTGTTGATATTTTTAACCCTCAATTAATTATTATTTTACAGCTGGAGTTGTGTTAAAATTTTTATTTTTTTTAAATAGCAATTTGCATTTTCTTTTTTTATATTTTTTTAAGTTTTAGTGGAAAAAAAGAGTGCATGCAATTTTATACTAGAATTTCCTTTAAATGTGTTTTTCAAAGAATAATTTTCCGCAGAATAATTTGATACATTCTGATAATTATGAGGTTGAATAACCTAACGTTACCCATCAGTTTTTTAAATAATTTAGGTAAAAAATTGCCTTTTTTTATTTTCTACTTTTTTGTAATTCTTGACATTTTTGTATTTCTTCACTTTTTCAATTATTAGCTTTTAATCTTTAAATTAGAGAGGCTCTGCAATTTTATTTGAATAAATCCTTTTTAATGGTTACTTTTTAAGCGTATTTTAACTTTTTCATAGTCTAATAATTTATTTTATTGCCTTACATTAGTTACATTTAATAACTAATAATTACCTTAAACTAATTATTTTTTTAATTTTAATATTGGAGATAAAAATGCCAATTTTTTTATGCCGTATGTATTTTTCCAATTGTTCATTAAAAAGAGTTAGTTTGAATGAAAGAGCTTTTGAAGGACTAACTTAACAGGTGACATTTGCTTCCTTTTACTCTAAATTGTTTCTAAATATTTCTTTTCTTTAATGTCAAATGTTATACATTTCTCTCACATTATCGCTTATAGAAAAAATATTTAAATTTCTGCATACAAAAAGCGCAACGATTGTTTAAAAAATGGAATAAATAACGTTTTTAATGCGGCACTCAAAAGTAAAATATTCTATAATTAACAAGTGAGCAAGCAGTTTAAGTATAAATTCATTGACGAAAAAATGCTTTTTTTCGTTCACAGATGACTTCTTAATTGGATTGCAGTATCAAGGAATATTTAAATGCGATACTAACAAGCTAATTATTTTCGGATTTTGACTGCTTTTACAACACTTTCATTGATGCAAATCAGTTTAATTAAAATTTGAACTAAATTAAAGTTGAAATGAGCTAATTAAAATTGAAATTAACACAAGAATTTATTTTATTTATGGTAGAGCCTTTTGGAAAACAGCAATTAAAATATAGCATTACAACTTGGAATCACGATAAAAATTAATTCAATGAATTTTTAAACTGTTAAATTTAAATACAGTGCCTGGCCTAATTATTAGACGAACTAAAGATTCCATGTCANTGTATTTCCCCCCCCCCCTTCCTGGAAAGGTTTTATTCGATTAACAAAACAATAATGAAGAATGAAGATAAACAAATTTGTGAAGGGTCCGATTAAAAGGTAAATTATTTTGTGAAGGGTCCGTTTTTATGATAAGATATTTTGTGAAGGGTCCGTTAACGGAGCCAAATTTCTTCTTAACAGACCCCAGATAGGCAATGCATACATGCTATTTAAACATACATATACTGGGATTTTATTCAAAAGATTTTTATATGCTTCCTATTTCTATTCGTTTTTAACGTATTGCGTTATAATGTTAACCAATTGATACACTAACGTAAACAAGTTCAAACCGGTTTCAGTCTTGTAAAAACAATAAAGCTGTATAGTATCAAATTATAATTAAGGCTTTATATAGATTCTCTAGTGCGTCGAATAATTTGGCTAGGGGCTGTACTTCATCTCGCGACTTGTTTCTGAATTTAAAATGAAATACATTTCAAAATTTAAATTGCTTTATTTAATAATTTTTCAAGACTATGTGAAATTGTAAATTTTTTAGTTTACCTTTGAGTCCTGGTTTCAAACGTAGTTAGAGAATTGCGGCATGCGGGTCTGTAATTGGCTGAGACAATAATTTTTCAGGAAAAAAAAAAAAAAGAACGAAACATTGTCTTTTGTTATCGCCCTTAAGTCCTTTCGCTTTACAATATCTACACGATTCCGCATCTTCATAGAAAACTTTTTTTTATATATATATATAAATTAAAAAAAAACATAGGGAGGGCAGCACTAGCAAGAATGCTATTGTGCTATACAGATATGATATCGCTGTACTCTAGATACTACGTGTCCTAACGACACAGGACTTCCATATTTCTTGGTCTCTTTTTATAAAACTGATTCTTATATAAAATATGAAACAAGTACCTACTTAAATACTTATTAGTTTTTGCATATTTAACTATTTTAACAATCAAAACAATCGAGGCATTTAATTATAATGCATCAAACACCTGCCTCAATTAAAAGTAACGATGTAATTTGAGACTCATCATGATTTTAGTTATCTCCTTCGGTTATAGCGAATGTGGTATAACGTATATTCTTTCCTCCTTTTCCCTTGTTCACTCCGATACTTCCCAAAAACACAATTGGTCAAAAAATGGTAACCCATTAACAACACGAGAAACATTGACTAATAATGATAAAAGATTAGAAAATTAATATGACCAAGACATCTAAACAATTCACTTCTGCTCTCCATCAGAGCATTCCCTCCTCTCTCTTTTTACAACCTCTACCTTGATGACAGCGCCATCACAACATGGAAGCATGGCAGCGAAGAAATAGAAATTTTTTAAAAAAAGTACAATGAAATATTTGGTTTAATTTTGCTTTTATAGATATGCTTGATGGGCTATTTTTTTCGTGTTTCAGAATTACGCATTCCAGGGGGGGGGGAAGCATCATAACTTATTTTTGGCGTGTCCACTACAATTTTTGACGAGTTTGACACTTTAAGAGGATGCCATACCGCGGGAGAAACTTTTTGTAGCAAATTCTCTTTTAACTCTGTAATTTAAAGTATAGAAAAAATGAGTTCAGAAAAAACAATAAAGTTTCAAAAACTGAAAAGAAAAACAAAATAAAAAATAAATTCTGAGAATTTCGGAGTGGAGAAGTTCTCTTCCGATTATTTGTTTGTATTTAGATATTTGGACATTTTTTTTTCAGCAATTGAAACTTAATTGCTTTCTCTAAGTTAGTGTGTACTCAATTTCTCTTTTTTTAAATTTTTAAATTAGAAATAAACGTGAACGAAAATTTGCGATGCAAAGTTTCTTCCGTGCTACGGCATCATCTTGAGTGGAATCAACAGAAAGTCAAAATTTTCGATGGTTTTCCCTTAATGGACCAACATAATCTTGATGGTAACCATCAATTATTCCATCATGAACCCTTACATCTTTTGATGGTAACCAACATAAGTAACCATCATCCCAATATAGGGAATTCAGACAGATTCACGATGGTCGGATATAAGAATAGCAACTTGTTTTGATGGTTTGTTCATGCTGAACCAATATGAATTTCCATCATAGTTTCTTAGAAAGCAAATCTTGGAAAGGTCATGAACCGCCATTACCTCAATGTAAGAATTCGGTCTGATTTATGATGGTCCAACATAAAATGAATTCATGGTATATTCCTGCTGAACCAACAAGAATTCCCATTCAACCATCATCGTAATGAATAGTTGGAACCATCATGGACCATCACGGATCATCATGAATTGTTGGATAATGAGAATAAATTACTCTTGGTGCTTAACCGTCATAGTATTAAAGTAGCATTTTTCATCATGGAATGATGGAAGTTCGTTGGAATATCAACCACCATGAGCACAGAATAGAAAATGTTGGATGATGGTGGCCATCAAATGATATTCGATCATCATGAATCAGACTGAAATCAACATAAACCATCAAAAATTTTTGATGGGACCATCAAGAATTTTGACTTGGGCAGCCCCTCTTTCCTCTATTAATTATAGAGTTTTAATGATAGTTTAAGAAAAAGTAAAGAGCGACTTACTGGCTATTGTTGTGAAGGTGGTTATGTACGTGACGATGAGGATGATGAGGGGTAGAAGGAACATCAAAATGAGGCTGAGGGTTGTATAAAACTGTTCCTGCCACGCCGCCGTGTAGAAGCCAAAAGTGACGCACTGGTAGAACTCCTCTATGAAGGGACCCTTCATCACGCTGAAAATAAATGCCTGAAAAAGTGAAACAACAGTTAGTGCCTGGATTTTGATGCGTTTATGCTTAAAACGGATCACTGAAGGTACCTTTTCAGTAACACAACAAATTTAATAAAACAAAAGTAAATATTACGAGCATTCTCGTGGTCTTCCTCTCCATGTAACGCAATTGCGGGTTAGTTCCATTAAAAAGTCCTCTACGAAGGCAGATTTTTCCCTATATTTGATCCGGGAGTTTCCTTCTCTTCTGGATTGGGTTCAAAATTACGAGAATACGGAGTGAACATAATTACTCGTAAACCCGAAAATTAGGTCGACTGTTCAACGATGGTTATAAAATAAAATAAAAATGTATTTTGAGTTGTGTTCATTTTTGTAAACACATATTTTGAGTTGTGCACAGCTCAAAATAAGTGAAAGCTCACAAAAAAGCTCCTACTCTTCCATGTTGAGTGGATAGAATATTATAATGTGGTTTAAAATAGCACCTGGTTGCGGCAAAGGAAACGATATTGTGGTTCTTCAAAATTTGCAACAATCAATTCATGATAGATTTTATAAAATGTTACTTCTTTTCAAACATTAACTACAAAATTGTATCTTTTTTAACGTTTTGTTAACCTCTTTTTAACATCCTTGGAAGCTTAATTTCAGTCTCGAAAGCATTTTTTCTTTCTCCTGAGAATTTAATTCTAGCGGTGTTTTTCAATACATTCCTCACTTTATCCCGCGGAAGAAAAATAAATTTTTTCCCTGCTACAAAAATATTTTCCCTTAAACGAAAGCGTCGTAGAATATTGGAGAAGAAAAAAAAAACTATTTAAATGTGTCTTCTTGAATGATCATCAGTTAGAAGATTTGTTCTCGATGGTAAATGTTATCATATGCAGAATTTTACACTTACATTTTAATACTTTATCCGTAATGAGTTTACTACACCGCCCTCTATTTTTCGTTTTTAAATCGTTTCCAGATACAGAATAAATCAATAAACAGTTTTTCTTTTTTAACGTATTTGACATCTTGTTTATCTTCAGAGAAGAGTTAAAAATAATATTTTTTTTCTTTTTGCATTCTCAAACATTCAACTGCAATTTGTTGCAGTTAAATGGAACGAGTTGGACAGCTTTAAATATTTTACAAAGTAAAATAATTATCGTTTAAAAGTTGGTAAGAGTAAGTGTTTTAATAATTAATTAAACTCTCTCCGCAAACTTTAAAACAAAAAATTTCTTCGCAAGAAAACAAAAGAATTCAAACCTGACATTTTGAAGGGATATAGAAAAAAGAAACCTGTTTGATATCTTAAGAGGCCTTTTTCCTCGCGCCATGTTAGATGTCAGATAAAAATATTTGATTTGCATTTTTTAAATATATTTTTTTTGTATTCAATTAGCTTTTGGGTATATTGTGTACACACTCTAGTTGTGACGACACTATAATTTTTAGAAAATAATAAATTTAAACAGATCGCTTTATCAGATTAGGAGAAATGTTGCTTAATAATTTTAAAAACTTCCATCAAAATTTTTCAAAAGTGCAAATTAATAAAATGGTGCGATTTGTTTTGAATAAGCAATTTAAAATTATAAATTTTTCTGTTTTCAGATGTTTTTAATATTTAATTTTATTAAAGTTGAAATAAAGTTAAAGAGCAGTTTTCGACAATGTCAACCTTCATCTATGGATAAGTACTCCATCATAGAATCGAGTTAACATGTCTTATATGCTAGTGAATTTGAATTGCATATTTGTAGTGGTAGACACACTACAGTACTCCCCCACCAGAATCATATCTGTGATAGAATTCGATGAACGAATACCACTTGTTGATTCTTTGCTGTTTTGTGAAAAGCCGAGAGAGTTGTATTAAGTTAACGGTCGTGGTTGCTCTTGTGTTGAGATTAGCAGTCGTTGTGTGTGATCGAGACTGAGTAGCAACAGCATGATTATAATGTCGCAGTCACAAGCAGCAAGTCAACTCTTCAGTGTGAACAATCCATCGAAGTCAGCGTGTTCAAACCGAAGTGGGAGTTTCTGCCAAGGTAGGCGTGTTCACATCGCGTCCGAAAGTCACCAATGTGAGGAGAGTAGATATCGACAATGTCAACCTTCATCTATGAAAAGGTACCCCATCATAGACTTGGTTTGGTGGTTGGTCGGGGTGCCTGAGGCCGAGATGGCCCTTCATCATGAGCTGAGTCCACTGTGCTTTGCTTGAAGAAAACGTCTCTCTGTTTTTAAGATTATTTATCTCGATTAGATAATTGGCATCACCAGCCTCCGCTAGCAACTAAACCCGAGGGACAGTAGAGTTTAGTAAAAGTAGACCCTACTTGCAAAACATGCTTCGACCAGTCGGTTTCAAACGCAAATGCCAGCCATTACAGTTTGATCGGAAAGGTCCTAGATGCTACTAACGAAAGGTGAATGCAATCATTGCGTTTCTTTGGTCTACTAGACAATTTCCATTATAGAATCGAGTTAACATGTCTTATATACTAGTGAATTGGAATTGTATTTTTGTAGTGGTAGACACTCTACAAGCTTAAATCAATAAAAACTGATTTGGATGCTGATAATGTAAAGTAACTTTAATTAGGAAAATTAAAGATCGAAGAACAAACAAATATTGAACTTCCTTTAAAAAATACAATTTACGGAATCTTATTAATTTAATTTTAATAAAAAATAATGAATAGAGAATTTGACGATGAATAGAGAATGAGTAATGAAGCCCTCTACTACCTCTTGTATACTATATAATACTGCCCTCTTGTGTTCTGCATGTTTTGGATGATACTATAAGAATATTCACCATAAATTAATTACTAAAAAATAAAATGAAAATAATTAATAGCATATATATAATAGAATTGTCCACAGGTGGCATTTTTTAAATGAAATCTGCAAAAACTTTAAGCATAAATTTTGGATATTAGTTACAAAAGACCCAGTCTATAATTATCCGTTCCGATTAAATCCGTTCTGAAGTTTAAAAATGAAAGAAAATTGCCGTACAGGAAACTGCGTTTGATTTCAGAACTTAAGAAATATTAAGTTTTGATTCTCTAATTATTAAGTTTTCAAGAAAATTCTATCGCTCAATCAAAAGTTATTAAAAGTGTTCCATGTTTTTATATTACAAACTTTACATTAGTGAAACTCCAATGTGATGCAGAAAATCAATATGAAATTTAAATAATATGTCTTCCTTTGAATTGTTTCCAATTTATTCCATTTTATTAGCCTAAGGAAGTGATTCTATAAACTAATTTTTTTATTTAATTTTATTTATATATTTCAAAGAGGAAAAATATAAATTGCTCCGAAACGAAACGTACTTCATTAGCATCGTATTCTTCATGTTTTTTTGGACAGAAATAAGTAATGCTATCGTTAAAAAAATAAATACCATCATTGGATATCTTTGCACTACTCTTATGGGAATGACTCCCGTTGATAAATGATCCTAAGGGTGCTTTAGAACATTTCTATTCGATAGAATCTACATGTATGAGAACACATAGCAGACATCAATTCATTAAATATCCATTAAGTTTAATGAATCTTTATGTTTGCGACCTTCTTAATACTTAAAAGAATGTTTCGAATGTATTTCAAATTAGAAAATAGATGCAGGGCAACTTTAATAAACGCAGAAATCGAATAAATTTATCCGAAATTTCCTGAGGTGAGCGAAAATACATGAATTGAACGGCAGCGTTTCTAATTCTTGAAAGCTAGTATTTTTCTTCTTTTTTTTTTAATAAAATTGAATAAATTTATTTGCATTTCATGTTTATTTTTGTTATAAAAAATGTCACTGCTGCCGTCACTGCTGTTTTAGAAAATTTTCGCCAAGCGTAATTTTCACTGTCATAACTCAAAAACTATTAGATAAAATAATGTAAAAATTTCTTGCATGTCTAGAGAAATTTTTAGAAAAACTTATTCTGACGCCATATTTGTTATTTCGTCCTGTTATTATTTTTCAGTTATTTTACCCCAAAGTTGAAGATTTCTTTTTTTTTTCCGCAACGTTATTCGATTTTGCGAAAATTGTTAGCAAGGGTGAATTATGATTTTTTTTTGCAGCCACATATTTTGTCAGCACCCATCGCACTCTATTTAAATTTTGAAAAATGTTTAGATAAATTTCGTGGTTTATAATGAATTATATATTTCGTCGCAGTTAGAAATCTGTTCACTTGTTTGAGAACGTGTATTTCGTGAGAAGCATCAAGCTTAATTCTACCCAGTAAAAAATTACTGTTTAAAGTACCGGAACTTTAAGTGCATCATCCATAAAATTCATTTGTCCATAAAATCCATTTTCACCGTAATATACTTTAATTTTTTCAGTGACGGAAAATTTTAAAGAAGAAAAAAATGAGAATATAAAAATGACTACCGAAGCTGAAAGGAAAGGAAAGGAAAGGAAAAGGGAAAAGAAAAAGAAAAAAGAAACTCCTGGATTTTTTACAAAACCTTTGGGGTACAGAGAGAGCAATTTTTAGACATTTGTCGTGCTCTCTCGATAGAAAAGGTTTCCTGTTTTTATGAATTCCGGAGCTGGAACCCCCTGATGGCGTCAGCTTCGGTAGTCATTTTTATATTCTCATTGTTTTCTTTAAAAATTTTTTATTGGTTTCCAGGGGTATGTTTAGAAGAAATTTGGGTCCATTAACGGACCCTTCACAAAATATATTCATAAAAACGGACACTTCACAAAATATTTTAACTTAAAAACGGACCCTTCACAAAATAATTTATCTTTTAATCGGACCCTTCACAAATTTGTTTATCTTCATTATTGTTTTGTTAATCGAATAAATCCTGCCCAGGAAGGGGGGAGGGTGAGGAAGAAAGACAGATGTAAACGAACTAAATTTGTCTTCGTCAGACGCTTCTTCCTTTATTCGTCCGAAATGAATATTCTGTGTTAAGCAATATAGGCTAAATACCAAATATTTGTATGTTGCATCGCTAATTTAGTAGCAACAATTGCTGTTTATTTTTTAAAATTTAATTTTTTAACTATAATTTTACAGTGTTGAGAATAATCTTGTATGTCTTTACAATTTAAAAACTCCTTGAAAAAGTTTTTTTGCAATAACGGACCCTGTTT